AGTCACAAACCTGCGGAAAAATGCAAGTTTCTTCTCTTTGATTATTTTGACGAGAGCCTGATTCCACCACGCTGCCTCATATATTATAATCATTTCATCGTGTGTAGAGTACTGGTCAGGCGCTTCACCGTCATCTCAGAACGGTATGCGTTTTTTTTTGGGGGGGGGGGGGGTAAGTGTTTTGCGGCGCTCGCAACTGTATAATATTAAGGTCATAGAGCACGCAGGACACAACAAACATTTCCAGTTGGTAGAAGGACGTTTTGAATTTTACCCGGTTGGCGGCCGAAGTCTGCTCATGTCGATTTTAGACCACCATTCAACGTGCGCAACTTGCACACGAAACTTCCGAGATTTTTCGCTCTTGTCCGAGAAGGCTAGGTGTAGATCTTTCCTACCAGAAGATCAGGGGTGTGGCTGAAAGACAGTAGTTAGAAGGAGCCAAGGGGTAGCAGTAGAAAGGCTGCAGAAAGAGTCAGGAGCCCAGAGGAGAGGGCAAAGGAGGTGAGGGGGTGGGGAAAGAAAGTGGAGAAAGCAGACGACAGAACATTGCTAGAGAGCAGGAAAGGAGGTGAAAGGAGACAATTTTAGAGAAGAACATTTTTCGGTCGCTACCAGGATTCAAACCCGGGACCTTTGTCGAATGAGAGGCGAACACCGTAACCTATAGACCGCCAGAGCCCTCTTATAATATTCTCTGATTCCTTTGAAGCACAGCCTGCAGTGCAAGCTGCAGATTTCACGCGCTCAAACACTTTCGTCATGCACGAGAAAGACGATTCTTAATTTAAGAAGGGAGTATATAAGCTTTTACCGTCATCAAAACGCAGCCAGAGGCTCATTCAAGCACTGCGATCACCTAAACAAATAATAGGGGCTGATACAATAATAATACAACACTAACAGTGCGAAAAATCGAATTTGTTCAAAGATTTTTTTATTTCAAATCTCCATAACAATATTGTTATGTTACATGAGCAAGTAAAGATCTGCTGGTGCAGCAGTATTTTAGACTAAAGAAAAACAAAACAAAACAAAGCAAAACAAAAACAACTAAGAGCTTGTACAAGTAGAAGTAAAACAAAATTAGATCAATACTTAACCAAGATTACAAATGTGTGTGTGTGTCTGTGCGTGTGGGTGAGGGAGGGGCACGAAAGAAAACGAGAAAGAGTAAAAGAGAGAGAAAGAGACTGAAAATCACCATACAAATGAAAATACTTATCATGCTATTGTAGATGCATTTGCAATCAGGTCTTTGTGTTGTTGGTAGTAACTCTAAGAATAGATCAGAGCTCAGGAACTGAGAGCAAATGGGAGAATTTGACTTTTGAAACCAGCCAAATCAGTAGGGTAAACATCTGAAGGCTGGTGAAACATTCTGTTTTAAAGCTACAAATATCCAAACGATCACCACGTGGCAAGAATTTATTGTCCTTTAGAAACTTCCCCAAAAATAAAGTAAGGTCTGATTAAGGTCTGACTCTGATAGAAAGAGTGCAATAAATTTGAACAACAGGATTCCCGTCCCCCCCCCCCCCCCCCCCACCATTTTTTCCATTCTCTTTTCTCTGTTCGTGTGTCTGTCTCACCCTCTCTCTTTTTGCCGATCCATCTGTCTGTATATCCACCTGCCTGCCTGCCTGCCTGCCTGCCTGCCTGCCTGCCTGCCTGCCTGTCAGTCTGTCTGTCTGTCTGTCTGTCTGTCTCGAAAATTCTCTAAACTTCAAGTACCTTTTGTACTTCAAATACTTGTGTAAGCAATCATCAAGTATACCAACATCTGACTTAAACAAAAGAATTCTCAGAAAACTTCAAATAAACAACAGCTGTAGAGCCCAGCTTCACGAGCTAATGCTGTGAGATGAAATGTGTAATGTATGGTCTCAACAGTCAATTATGACTGTATGTGTCTCACCCTTCCCTAGATATAATTCAGATCCTTTGACAGGCATTAGACCACTCTCACACAGCCAACTCGTCTAAGAGGGATACAGCATTGTGGTAGACAAATGAAGATACTAGATAAAATAACTTTTTCACTCAGGAAGCGAACATACGTCTTTTGCATGCACTGGTGATGATTGAAGAGGTACCGGACATGGCAGGGACATAATATGTAAAAGCAAAACTTAATACACAATTGGTAGAAATGTTAACTCTTTCTTCGGCGGGCTGTTCCTTCAAAGCAGATGAGATCATGGGGTATGCATCACACACTTACGTGACATAACAGATTATCTAGCCAATCTCCAATATTTCAAATTCCTCTCATTACCCTTTAGAACAATTGCAAGATCTCTAATAATTTAAACTGCTTTAAAAAGTTGGTCACAAAACGTGCTGTAACTAAAGATTATGTACTGCTTGGCTTCAGTATTTTTTCAAACAAAATTATTAATCACAAATCAAAATATCAGGTTTTCTAAGTTTCTCATTTTTTGAACAAATGCATTTCCTCAAGAACCTCTTCAAGCATCTGCACGATTTTCATAACTTAATTTAGGTACTGCATCATAAACTTAAATGCAGAAGTGCAGGAAGCAGTAATAAGGAAGTTGTTAACATTTCTGTAGCAAATAAGTAGAATTTTCATATCATAATGCTGACATACAAAACATACATATATACACATTATATCAGGCAAGACTCAGAGCAGTCTTGAGGTTTAAAAAGATATTTAAAAAACAGCCAAGAACTCTCAATTAAAAAAGCAGTTGTACATGTCATGGACTGAAGAATATCACACTTTTTTTCATTCAAATATTCAAAACTTGACAGGAGCTGTATGAAAATATCTGAAGTAAAAAAATAGAATTAAACAAAAGAGCTTCAAAATCAACTTTTAAAGGATTGAAAGACATTAAAACTTCAAAAATTTTCATTCTACACAAATATAGTAAATAACAAAACTGTCAAAAGTAATTACCCAAAAGATCTTGTTTTCATTTTCAACTCCTTGATGTGAAGAACGTGGGTGATGTGCAGTAAGTTAAGATAAGATAGGATAAGATAAGATGATGCTTTATTGTCCCGGTGAGACAAGTAGCCGAAACCAATGATTTCATATTGCCCAAACCAGTATTCATATCTATGAATTAGCCTACTTTATGTATTACCAAAAAAAAGTCAAGATGTGTCAGATAAAATTACATAAACATTCACCCTATCCATAGAAGATTCTATAATATTCCAACCTGCAGTGACAAAAGCATTGTTGAAAACAAAATTTTATTACCAATACTTCCGAGTCAGTAGGTGTTGTCTCATCGTGGTCCTGAGTTCGACTGACTGTGTCCGTGAATCTCTCAGACGATGTCTCTATTTTTCGCGCTAAGCTCTTGACGTCATCCAAGGGCGTGCTACTCCCCTAATTATCTAGTTCCCACAGTAAAGATAAGAGTCATGTCCCTTGACATCACACACTAATAACAAAATAAAGTAAAAAAAAAAAAATGGTGCTGCTCTTATAAGTAGAATTTATGTTTCGTTGTGCTTAAAGAAAATTTATAAATATTTTTTTTTGTCTTTTTGTTATGGGGCATAATAATTTTCATTCATTAAGAACCGTGCTAGCCTACTAAAAGGATTATATCCAAACATAAAGGCATAGAAGATTGACATTTCAAAATATCAATAGGTGTCAATGCAATTCCAAACAAAAGATAAAAATATACGGTAGAACACCATACATGTATTATGAAAAAGTGCCACATCTGATTTGATTACAAGAGCAACAATTTCAGATAAGTCAAGTGATTGAGAAACTTTAAAAGCAGCAGACTTATCATTGAGGATAAAGTTCTAAACAGTTGCTTAAACAAACAAACAAAAACAAACAAACAAACAAAGAAAAAGACACAGCAAGACCAAAATCGAAAACACAAAATCATTTCAATCCAACTGATATTCTTTTAACACAGAGTACACATTATTGTGTGACAGTAGGACCAGAAGACAGAAATTCAAGATGTAAAGATAAGATGAAAACAACAGGAAAATATAACACCCCCCCCCCCTCCCCAACAACAAAAAATGAACATTTCTGCCCTACAGGCCTATATATATTGAATGAAAAGTACTCCAACATTGCACTGATAGTTAAAACATGGGCATCTTTATGTTCAGTAGGAGTTACTTTAGCAATATTTTCCTGGCACTATCAGAATACAATAAAGTTTAGGCTGTATATAATAAGCCGCACCCACTAAAGTTTTTTTAAAATCTGAACTTTTTTCTCAAATAAGCCACACTGGTTTATAAGCCTCAGCAGATTATAAAACACATGACATATGATACAAAAAGTACTGACCAGTCAGTTATTGGACCATATGTTTCTAAGGCTCGTAAGCCACGGCCAGCAGCTCCCAAAACCACGAGTTAGGCCTAAGATTTAAAGCTGAGGAAAAAAATTCACGGCTTATAGCCCCAATTTTACAGTACAAATGATTATGGTCTCAAGCACTGATTGTAATTGATGTGTCCTGTGGGCTAAGCAATGTTCTCTAGGGCCTACTGGCAAAGAGCTTAACCTCTCACTTCGTGATACCTTGATACCATGATACCTTGCAAGGTTTTTTTGTGAAACTGTCACTATAACTTCAAGTGTCAGAAACAATTAGCCCATAGTGTCATTGGAAATTATACTTCACCATAGGCATAATATTATGTTGGAAAATACTTGAGAACAGGCAAACCAAGAAAATAAAGGCCATAAACCTATATAATTTCAGAAAGTACTATAGAAATAGGAAAAGAGGCTCATCTGAGAAGTTGAAAGGTTTAGCGATTTTTAAAATGCTAAAAACTTCAGCTGCGACATCATAGGACACTTGGAGGGTTAAAAAAACATTTCTCAGTAATCAACTAAATCAAAACTGACATTTTCAAATATTAATCGTTAAGATTACAAATGGAAAGTTACATACAAGTTACATGCAAAATAATAATTGATTGACAGTATATTGCATTTATATAGCAATTATGAAGTATCCATTCCTTAAAACCCATTTGTTGTTACATTTATTTGAAGTCCCATGATAACTGCAAAAACTTGTTTTCTTAAATAGACAATTTCAAAGAATCAATGACAATCATGTTTCTTAAACATAGGTAAGTGTGCATACAAAAAAAGAAGAGGAGCAGTACTCTGGATGAGACTGATCCGATGATCAAATTTTCACGTCTTTGAAAACAGAAGGCATTCTCAGTCATTCTGGCAGGACTACACAGATTTGAGGTAAAGGAAGAAAGGGCAGTAATTTTGACAAAATCTCAAAAAGGGCTGTCTGATTCAGGGGTGCGAAAAGCACTGTTCAAAGAGAAACATAACAAAGCAAAAGGTAACAGCAACCCTTCTTACTTTGAACACAAAATAATAAATGTATAACTGTGGAACTTCATGTCACATTAAGTATAATTGACACTAATGCTAAAATAATGCACATGGTCCACCATCAAGGCACCGGACAGACTGTGGTGTAAAAATCATGGAAGGAGAAAAAAAAACGTTCAGACTACTTAATATCTGGGTCTGAACCCTTGATATCTACACATCATATGAACAATGTGCACCACTGCAACTAATCTCAGAAACAAACTATGCAACAAGCATAATAATGATCACAGACAGAAACCAATATTCTAGGTGAACCGGAAAGTCCTGAAAGGACTTGTCTAGATCTCATAGAGATAAACATAAAGGTGTCCACTCTCACAGCAGTTGCTCCTTCATCTCAAAGAGATGACAGTAGTTCGTTATAATGTCACTGGTGCCTCAATCTATATCTCACAGAGATCAAAATGGATCATGTGTCCACAGAAACTTGATTCGAGTCTCATAGAGATGAAAATATCTGTATGCAGTCAACAGCGGAATATAATGTTTACATCTGATATTTCATAAACATAACGAGCGGAGCTTGAGCATTCAGCAGCAATTATATTCCATGCATAGCTCTTGACGAGCTTTTCAGCAGAGCCACAGAAATTTCCATAAAAGAAGAACACAGCATAATATGGAAGTAACATAGTAAATATCATTCAGATGCATCTTTCATGCACATTATTTTTTCTCAGTGGCAAATACTAAAAAAGCAGTTATTCCTAGAATCTATTACAACTAAAGGATTATAAGCAAATGCCAGGGAAAATGTGTTTTATTAACAAAAGTGTACAAATCCATCATAATAAAATATTCAAATTTGTTTGTGCTTTACACCAAAAACAGATAAAATCAAATTTATCGCAATCAAATTGTGAACAGAGTAAGACCTCAAATAGGTGGAATGCAAAAGTGCACAGATTAGTTTGCAACTATTGTAAAAAGACACAACAAGATCATTGCAACAAAAAATAATTATAGAAAAAAAGCAGAAATCTTATTTCAACAATTGCATCTAAGCACAGGAAATTGTAAAATACTGACTGCTGAAATATATATTCACTCAAATTTTTTGGGGGAGAATGTGAATGACATTGGCAGCTACATTGATCATTTTATAATTCTTTACTGCATCATGTAGAGTCAAAAAAATATCTAAGCAACGTTTTTTTCAAAAACTGTCATGTATGGAAAAACCAAAGAAAAAGAAAAGCCACAAGTCATGATTAAGTAAACCACTTTTTTTTCATTTTTTTTTTTATAGTAGAGGGTTTTACCGCGCTCGCAACTGCATAAGGTCATATGAGCGCCAGAGTAAACCACTTATGAATATATATCATTGTCACAGAATTTGTAAACAAAGTATACAAAAATCAGAATCACAAACAAACCTGCTGAAACAGCAAATCTGATGAGCACTCGAGTGCACTTTCCACAGCAAAGTCGAAAGTTTTCATTTTTCAGCAAGAAGGCGGATAAATGTGAACATATATAGCTTTCTCAAGTTATTGCATCCTCTTCATTGAAGCTGCTAAATCTCTAGATTCTAGAACACTGGTGTGACATGGTATCTTTTTTTAAACCTTTCCTGGCTGAAGCCATAATTGGCCTACTGGAAGAACCATGAAAACAAGGTACACACGAGGGGGGTTCAAGAAGTCTTTAGTCTAAATATGAAGGAATAAAGATAGAGCTCTGGAACTTGGCACACATACTTGGTACACATAGTCACCATGCAGAGCAATACATTTCTACCACCTCTCTTTGACCTTCAAAAGTCCTTGTGAAAAAAAAAAAGACCCAGAATGGGCCCCTAACCAGTCTTCCACAGCTTCAATGGCTTTCTCGTTGTCATTGACATCCGTTCAGTGATTTTTTAAGATTAGGAAAAAAAAAAAGTCTAAAGGGGCTAGGTCTTATGAATAAGCTGGGTGTGACGGGATTTCAAAGCCACACTGTTCTGCTGTCTGGACTGTTTGTTGTGCCCTGTGCCAGGGGGGGGGGGTTGTTATGAGGTAGGAATTTGGAGGGGAAGTGACTCTTTATTTTGAAGTAAAACATAAAAAATGGGTCACATTTCTTTAAAGAAAATACAAAAGAAGAATAACATAAGCTTGGAAAGTGAAAGCTCCACCACTGTTAAAGCTGGGGGTCAATACCCTACATTTTTCCTGTTTGACAAGCTGAATTTCTTGAGCATGCCATTGTTAAAATTCTAAATGCATGCAGGGAAAAGATGATATGTACCCAATCAGCAAATTTATATTATATTAGGACATGTAGCTGAGACGAGTTATAAAACAAATGTTGACTACTCAGACAAATCATAGCACACTTTGAGGAGCATTCATCATTTAACTGCATAAAGACATAAAAACAATAGTCATTTATAATAAAATTTTGTCTTCGGCTCATCCTTCCTGGTCAATTCTTATGGAAAAAGTAGACAGCTGAATCCCAGAGGAGGCTTTTAACTAATAACAGTCATGGGCTTCCTCTCACCAGCTTCTGCTGCCTCGTGGTCCACCTCTCTGCAAATGGAAAAACGGAAGAAATATTTTTGTAACATCTCCCATCTTCTCAGCTCATTTGAATGGGCTACTTAAATTGGGCGAAATGTTAAGCCAAGAACAGATAAGGTAAAAAAACAAGACACAAAAGACGAATCAGAAGCAGGTGACAAAACAGCATTGACCAAATGTCCACATTTCTTCAGTTCACCTTTATCGGAGAAGCTGCAGCTTTAATTGGATTATGCCTAGTAGGCAATAACACGTAACATAAGGTTCCGTGAGTGATTGTCAATGTTTCTGTTTCATAAGCCCATCAACACAGTTTAGATCACTTAGGAGGAGGGCTGCTATGACTAACCTGTCACAGTGAACTTGGGTTGACTAAAAGATACTATCCCAGCAGAAACATGGAAACACTTATATGTGTAGTAAAATAACTTCCTCATGTAAGAATCTAACAGGTCTTGAGATCATGTTCAATTAATACAGGAAAGCCCATTTCAGTATGAGTAAAGTGTCCTGAGCAGTTTGGCCTCTACATTCTCCAAGGAAGAACTAATGGGAAAATAATATTCATGAAGTGTCTTCACTGTCCAAAATCAGCCTCTTGGCGTATATGTGTCACGACGCGGTGGAATCAGACGCTCATCAGTTTTAGGGCATGTGGAGTTATTGGTATTATCTTAAAGCTTGTTCATTTGTCTTGCTTGGCCTCCTGAGGGTATGTCCAATCCATGGCCACTTCCTTCTTCCCAGTTCATCTCTGACTGGGCTCTGTCTTATTCTCCATAATACTTCCTCCGTTCATCCGAGTATCTTATTAGACCTTTATTGAAAAAAACCCCCAACTTGGATCCTCTTTATACAAGTATGAGAGAGACGTGCTTCATGTCTCATATCCATACAACAAGACTGACCACATTTGAGTTCAAAACCCTCAGCTTTGTTCAGAGTTTTAGTACCCTGTTCAAAGATGTGAAAGCAACCTGTACCTTTCCGACGTAGGACTTAATATCAGCTCCTGATCTCCCTTTATGTCAATTATTTTTCCAAAGATTACTAAAGGATTCAACACCAGACTCGAGTGCATTTTCTTTGGATTACTGGGTGAGAAATACTACAGGTGTTGATCTACATGAGCCATTCTTTGAACAGGAACTGCATCAGTTTTTTTTATACTTTCAACTGTGACCCACGACTCAAGAAAAAGAATTTTATAATGTTACTTCATAGAAACTTTGCAAAACTCATTAAATAGTTACACTGAAAAATCACTTCCAAGGAAAATTCAAATCTTTTGCTGCAAAACTTTCTTTAAGCATCACAATTAATCAATCAAGCTGACCCAAATCGTTGCACTGCAACTCCCTTTTTTTGTTTTGCTGTCAATTCACTTGGTCCAAATACAAAAGAACAATCAGTGATCCATTCGGATAAGCAAGATAACAGGATGTTAAAAAAAGTAGATGGAGAGATACTACGAGGGAAAAAAAGAGACAACGACTGACCTTGAAATCTTAACAGCTTCCCTCACAGACTCTGGGAGTTTCCGATTGTTTGTCTCTGGCAGCAGAAGTGCGAATAAACCAGCAACTATGCCCATGGACCCAAACACAATTTGAGGCATGATGTGCCCCAGTTGGCCTCCAGTAGTCTGCAGAAACAACAATTTGAGCATCAAGACACAGTCCTCTTCTCATCTGCACTAGACATATACAGAAAAAGTGGACCTGAAAGCTATCAGTTAACATCACATCCCTCAACCTTTCATTTCAATGAAAATGCTTTTAAAAATCATAAGCCCCTTTTTGTTTTTGTTCCACACTCCATAATACTTATTACAACCTAAGTAAGGGTTAATTTGTTTTCTTCGTTTGTTTTAGTAGAGGTTTTACAGCGCTCGCAACTGCATCTGGTCATACGAGCACCAAGGGGGGGAAGTCAACAGAGAAGTCCTTACAGGGAAACAGACTTACTCTGCTCACCTCTCTAGTTTCAACAGCACAATGTCTGCTTTGACTATCAAGGTACCCCAGAAATAGTTTTAGTTTTAGTAAGAGTTTTACGGCACTTGCAACACAATAAGGTCATATAAGTGCCGACCCCAGAAATAGATGTCACAAAAGTGGGACAAACATACAAAATAAGTAGAGAGAAAATTATGATAGTGAGGATTAGGAAAGAAAAAGCAGTAGTTCCCTGTTGCAGTTCAGGCACAGTAATGAGCATGACATCGATGAATCAGCCCATTTATAATTCTACTGTGCAAAAGAACAGGTTAATTTCCCCCTTTGGGAATGGCCTAAAGACACTTCAGTCAGTAGCACCGCCCCGAGGGGTCAATTTGTTTTCTTACATAATATATTTATATAAAGTGAAAAAAAAAACGACAATTGATTTTAAAACAAATGTGTCCCCAAGAGCATGGTCAGTCATTGCATGCAGCAAGGGTGGAAGATGGGGTGTATCGTATGCCTACACGTTGCAATACTGGCATATATCGCAGATCTTAACCTCACAATCTGGTAAACATATTTTACAGTAATCTCTAGATCCAGATCATCTTTCTTATCTAGTTCAGAAATGGCATCAACATGTACCAGTACAAGAAATCACATTGGCCTACATCTGGAACCAAAGTAGCAGTTGAGTGAAACCATTAGGAAAATGCTTTAACATTTTGATATGTCTGTACCTCAATGGCTGGATATAAGACTCCCACAAACACCATTTTGCACTTTGGCATTTGTTGGAGACTCACACCCTGCCATCAATCTAGCGCTTTACTTTTATCCTCAAATAATCATTCTGTTGTTACCCCCCTTGTATTCAGAAAACAGCAAGACATGGCTATATATGTGATCTTGAGTTTTTGGTGCTGAGTCTTGTTATTGCAGAGTAAGATAAAATCATATGTACCAAATTAGCAATGTACGTGGCCACAACACCCCCAATGCGAGCAAAGAAAGAACAGGAACCAGTGATGCTGGCCCTCATTGAAGTCGGGAATAACTCCGATGTAAACATCCAGGCAATGCCAAAAGCTCCAGAGACTCCAAACTTGCCAACCATGGCCAGTAGACGCACAGACCACATGGCAGCTGGTGAAAAGTGGGGAAAAAATAAAATAGAAATTTGTAAACATTACCGTCATGATGTTGAAAGAAGAATTTTGTAAGCAATACCATCGTGAGGCTGACATAATTTGTTTAAAGCAACTGTAAAACTATGTCAAAATGCAGAATAGAACTGGTGGCAAACAACGCTTGTAGTTTTAGCAACCGTTTTACAGCACGTGCAACACAATTAGATCAAATAAGTGCCAAGGATTAGATGTTACAAGAGAGTAATAAACAAAAAAAGAAAGAGGAGAGATAAGGATGTGTTTGATAGGAAAGAAGGTGCAAACCACAACAGAGCGCAGGCCAACCATGCGCCTTACAATGTTTATCCCATGATATTAAAAAAAGAGTTTAATTCTAAAAGTTTAAGCCATTTTAATGACAGGAGTAGTGCCTTGTTTGTGAAAGCACTCATGAGACGGCAATAACAATTAACAGCTGCTGCTGAATTGTGTGTTGAATTCTCTGTGTCCAAGAACCAGTTAAACTCTTGGATCATCATCATCATCATCAATATCATCATCATCATCATCATCATCATCCTCATCCTCATTATAATCATCATCGATCGATCATCATCATCACCATGTCAACACAATTTTACGTAACCTACAAGTATTGGCACCAAAATCAGGATACGAGACAAAAAGAAATAAAAAATTAAACCCTTTGGAGCCAAGGTCTCTGAAACCTACAGTATCCCTGCACAACAGGTCTTGAGTGACAACCCCTAGATATATACCACCACAGGATGAAGAGAGCATTCAGGGTGCATGAAGGTAAAGGTGGTGTGCACTGAAGTATGTTCTCCAGCCCAAAAAGTTAAACCCACTGCACAGTGCACATGACACATTAAAATTGTATCCACTGTACTAAATACTTAGACTTCTTTACAATGAAATCAACACACTACAGACTATCATGTACATAGCAAAATCAGCAGGTTGCAGAAATCTTTTCTTTATGTAACCTACCATTTTCGCAATGTACACGTTTTAAATACGAAGAATACATACGAAAGAAAAAATTTGGAACCTGAACATCTGCTCGCTATGGCTATGTGTGTATTTCTGCTTTGTGTGTGCTTGCTGTGTGCATGTTTGCTATGTGTGTGCTAGACTGTATATAACTTATAAGAAATAAAAACTTACATGAATCTGCAAACAAAACTGGCAGAACTGTAAGCAGACAGGCTATAGCCCCCAACAAAATGGAAGAACAGTAGAGGGACTTTCTCCCGAATCTCGACAAGGCAAAGATGATGATGGCATAGGCAGCAATCTCAAACACAGCCGAGAAACAGAAGTTGACAAAAATGTTGCCAGACAACTGTCCCACATTCAGACCAAGTCCATAGTAAGTCAGGCTACATACAAACCTGTGAGACAAAGAGAGGTAGTTTGGTCAGTCGTTTGGTCAATGCAAACTCCTACAACCTGGATATATCATAATCTTTTTACCTTGACTTGCTTGAATAGTACAAATTGGCATACATTGCTATCGGAATTTCCTACGAAATTTAGCTTGCAAAAACTATTATACTGAGCACAGTGCCATTAATGAATCCGTTTGTTTAAAAAAAATCAATACTGAGCAATGCTTTGTAGTCAAATCACCATCTTAATACAATTTACTTAAAACTAAGTAGAGTACCACCATTAAACCTTCTTGGCTACTCTGAACACATTTTTTTGACTAGAATTTGTGACCCAGAACAACAAAAAGCAACATTAACGCACCCCCCTCCCCAGAAAAAGAGAACAACATACTCTATTCTCAAAAATACGGACTACAGAAACTATCGTTGACAAAGAGGGAGCAAGAGTACTTTAATTGTATTGTTTCATGCTTGCAATGGCACTTCTTCTTTTGCATATCCCTGCTAAGTTTCAGTAAAATCTTCATCTCACAGTGCTGTCGAGTTTTACGTACATGGTCATTTTATCAGCATAAAATAAGAAGGTAGAATCATTCCTTGCAAGACAGACGGCCTGACATGCCATTTTCACTGGTGTTCTTAATATTCATACTGACTGGAGTGGCTTCAGTTGTGGTAATAACTTAATTCTAAATTTTGCCTGGTTGGTAGCCCTAAAGGCCTACTCTTTTTTATTTTAGAACTTCTCAGGAATCTTTAACGCGCAAAACTTCTTCTGGGGACCTCAAAAATATTTCACTGTAATCAGAGAAGACAATAATTCAGTAAAAATTCATGCCCCAACTTATCCTCAAATAACTCTTTAATGGGTGAATCAATGTCCCCCATATTTTGTACAGCAGTTTGTATCAATTTGTCTTAACTTAATCATATTTTTCCATCACTGAGGGCAATAAACTTTCCCAAAACAAGTGTTCAATAAACAAAGTGTCACAATAAGAAATAAGGAGGAATTTGCTTTTAAAAGCCATATTGTCCAAGGTGTAAACCATTTAAAATATGAAGAAACCACCCACTGGGTTTTTTTTATAGTAGGCCCTACTTATTAAGGAACTTTCGAGAATACAACTAACAGGTGTTTATAAAAATATTGATCTGTTATGACCAATCAATACAAGTCCTTGTGCAAAAGTTGGAGAGTTTATGTTCGATAGTTGAGGAAATATTTGACAGAAAGTTGCACCACAAATTTTTTACCGTACTAGATGCTCAATCCAACTTACCATAGGATCAGGTGGTGTATGTACAACACATGACAAAAAAATCTATCGCTAGCTGGGATCTGACTCCAGACCTCTGGGTTGGCAGGTAAACACCATATTTATTGAGGTACAGAGCCCTCTCAGCAACTCAATCCAAATCATTTACGGGGTACGGGGGCTACACAAGATCACAGCAGACAGATGGATATCCACAGCATCAGGGTGAAAACAAGCACTCGTCAAAATTATAGAATCGTAGAAGAAACAGACATTCTTTTTGCCTGCTGAGCAATTTTTATCAATTAAATTTTAAAGATTTTTTTTTCCGGGGGGGGGGGGGGGGGGGGGGGGGGGGGAGAGCTCAACACCTTTTACGTCCATTCAAAAACATATTTCTGTGTGAATTTTACTGAAAACCCTTGATGACCCAAGGCACAAAAGATGTTAAGTTGCACTTCCAAAGGACTCTCAAGCTTTGGTGGCCATTTTCTCAATAATGTTTCCTCTGACACCGGGCGACCCCTACCCCTCCTTCAATCGCGTGTATCTCTACTTTAGTATTCTTTCCATCAAAAGCAAGACTAATAAAGAAGCCTTAATGTGATATCAATAACTCCCTATGCCCTAAAAGTGACGAGCACCTGATTCTACCGTGCTGTGTCACATACATAATTAAAAGACTTCCTAGTAAGGGAATTGAACCCAAGCCTTCTGTATGCAATGATGAAGAGTCTTATCACAACACAAAAAAAAACTTGTTGAAAGGAAGAGAGAGTCACCTTTGACATAATTCAAGCTTCAAAAAAGATAAATAACAAAGATCAGTTGTACTTGCCAGTTGAAGAACATGATCAAGGCACGAACAAGCACTCTAGGATACTTGAACAGTGTGAAGATGGACTCTGAGGGAGCCTTCCCATTCTCCTTGCCCATTTCTTTGACCGCCATCTCCTCAGGGATTTCAACTTTGTTCGTAGTAGCAGCTCGGGTGATGATTGCCTGCGCCTCGGAATACCGTCCCTGACGGATCAGCCAACGGGCAGACTCAGGAACGAGGCTGTGGGGGGCAGAACAACAGGTAAGTGCAATGTGGTGGTAAGTAGGAAAAACGGTCACAGGCGTTACAATCAGTAGCACTACAGGTTGAAGAACCGGCAGTCGAATACCCTTAAGCTTGAGATTGAGGAGTGAGAATGCAAAGAAGCAGAAGAAAAAATAAGAATATTGTGGTTTCTAACTCACTCGTTATGACAGTTATTATACAGTACAGAGCAACAATCAGTTCCTGGAGTTGCCCCAATTAATCAGAGAAATTATTAGCAGCACTGTAAAAAAAAACCTTCAAAACGGCTAAACCAAAAGGTAAACATTAGAAGAAAAACTGGGTCTTGCTGCATTCGTGTAACCCATCACCGTCGTCTGGTTACATGTACAGATAAAACTAGTCATCAATGAGTTAATATTTACTGAATGAGGCATCAACTCCTCTCTCCTGCATACACTCACTCACACACACTCCCACATACACACTCACACATTCACTCACACAAACACTCACACACACACTCACAAACTCACTCACACACACACACACACTCACACACACACACTCACACACACTTACACACACACATACACTCACACACACACACTCACACTCACACACACACTCACACACACACACAGACACACACACACACACACATACACACACACACACACACACACACACTTACGCTGTTTTAAGCAACCTATAGACATGCACATCAGTAAATAAGCTTCCCTAGTAAAATAAAGAAACAAAAAGGCGACAGTGTTCTTACAAAAAGTACAGTACGAAGAGCACGATGGGACAAGAGGCAGCCAGCTGTAGATGCTTCCAGTCTCGGATCAAGAAGGCCAAGAAACACACCCACAGCATTCCCAGAGACCAAAAACCAGTGACAGCGATGCCAGTGACATGACGCCAGCTAGGGCCAGTCAGCTCCATTCCTGAGGACATAAAGGAAAAGTTATGGTACCGTAAGCACATCAGTCTCCATTTGTGGGATTTTTGTTTTACTAAGCGTTTTACGACAGAATCTGTGCTTCAAACATAGAAAGAATTAACCATGAAAGAAGCTGCATGAAGACAACCTTGAGAACATCTTTAGCTAAATTGACCGCGCGCGTAGACGAAAAGAGCCGTACAATCATTTTACAGCCCTTGCAATACATTCAGGTCACATACGTGCCGAAGATTGGAGGTATTACAAGCAAGTAACAAACAAACAAAAAAAAGGAAGAGAGATAAGAAGGATGATAGATGTTTGATAGTAAAGAAGGAGCAAACCATACCAGAGCACTTGCCAACCCCCTGCTCCGTCAGTGTGAGGACACTGGAAGCTGTTTGATGGAAAGGCACTGTACAAATGTTAGTTTTTGTTTGTGAGAAGAGGTGTTCGATGGAAAAGACAGTTTTCCATCATTTCTGAGCATAGATGACAGTGTGGCAGTCTTTACCAAATTTGTGTTCTTTTGCTCAACACCTTTTATGCCTTAAAGCAACACATTTTTGTATTAATTTTACTGAAAAACGTTGATTAAAAGCACAAAATATTTAAATTTTCAGTTTTCAAGGACTCTCAAGCTATTTGCGTTACATACCAAGGGGGGGGGGGGAGGGGGGTAATTTATTCAGTTGTAACAAACTGAGGAAAAGGAAAAATACAGCAGAGAGGAGACAAGCAAAAGAAAAAATAAGTTGTAAACTTGCATATCTTTCCTCCATGATATTCAATAAAACCCAAAACATACCACTTCTTTTCTTGCTGAGACATGAGAAGGGGTTAAAATCAGGAATGTTCGTCTCTGTAATAGACGTCTTGGAAAGAATCTTAGAATTCATGTACTTATTTTAAAAAAGTATCCATTTATCAGTTGGCATCACCATCTCTTTTTTTCCCTTTTATTTTGCTCTTTTCAAGAAGAAAATAATTTGTATCTTCATGTGTTTCTGTTTGCTTTATTCAAAGTTTAATTAAGTCAGAAGAATAAATTCATCTTGTAATTTGGTTATTGTTGTACCTGTTTCAAGATTAAATGTGTCAGGTGGAGGTGGAATCAGTTGCTCATCATTTTTTGGGGCAAGTGGAGTTATTGGTATTACCAGAAAACTTGTTCATTTACCTTGCTTTTGGTGAAAACAATTAAAACAATACCCATCTATCCTGCATAGAAGTTGAGAAGAGAGTATCGAAAGAGGTAGGGGTAGCTGGTTACAAAGTAAACTTGGCAAGAAAATAAGCATCAAAGTTTGGTATGTAACTTCAATAGCTTGAAAGCCCTTGAAAACTGAAAAATTAAAACATTTTGTGTCTTTAATCAGTGTCTTTCAGTAAAATTCGAATGAAAATGTGTTGTTATACAGGCATAAGAGGTGTTGAGCAAAAGCACAAAAATCTGATAAAAACTGCCATACTAGGCTGGCGGAAAAATGCCTGTTTCTTCGATTTCATGATTTTGACGAGAACCTGATTCCATCACAATGCCTCACAAATATGCTTAAACAATACAAAGATATGAGCTTTGCTATGCAATACTTTCTAACTAATATTGTTTATAAGAATAATTTGTGATTTGTCTTTTTCTAAATTACTTAATAAAAAGCAATGCTTTGAGATCTAAACATTTCTCAACTTATTATTTTTTCAAAATAGTGTTTTGTGACCTTACCTTTTCTTCCCTTATTCTGTAAAAAAAATTATGTTTTTAAAATTTCTTTCTTTCCTACTTTTGTGCAATATAGCGCTTTGTGATCAGTATCATTTCATATCTTTAAAAAAGGAATATTTTATCAAATGTTTCTTACCTCATGTTGTAAAAAAGAAATGTTTCTTGATCTGATGACCTCCTTAAGTTACATAATCCCAGCCTTTATATCCCTAACAAAACTTATGAAAACTGAAGGAAGACATATAATCAATGTAATGTTGTAAATTACATAGAGCATGCTGTAAAGTGTGGATGTGTTCTATATAACTGCAATTATTATTATTGTTACAATTATTATTATCAGTATTATTATTATTATTATTATTATTATTAATATTATTGTTATAAATTATTATTTTTATTATTATTATTATTATTAATATTATTATTATGATATTATGTTACTGTTTATCCAATCGAATTTCAGCCACATTTTGCTAAAACTATACATAGCACAGATTGAGATGCTGAAGACGACTAATTCCTTTGTGTCTCCATTTTAAAACAAAATAATTATATTCTCATCTGATCCTCCTTAACAATAAATGGCAGGACGTGTAAGATGTGCAATCGTCAACAACTAGCACAACAACAAAAAAAAAAGGATGACATTACCCAGGGTGTAAGAGGAGGTGTAAGCTGAAGCCATGGCGGCTCCATTGATGAAGTACAATGCCCCCAGCATGTAGATGTTGACCGAGAAGTAGGTGGTCAGACTGGCGGCCAGGTGGACTACGAGTGAACTCATCATGGCCTTCTTACGTCCAACCCTGTCATAGGAGAGACACAAACAGCCGGGGTGAAGAGCAGGAACAAAGGAGCTTGCAGCAAAGAAAGAGTGTGATAAATTTCAAGTATTATTGTTATATATGAACGTATATAATTAACAAATGTAGAAAAGGACTGACCTACAAAAAGAAAAATTGAAGGTGAATACTCTTTTCCAGAAAAATAAAACTATTCATTCAGAGCAATTCACTTCATCATATCATGCTTTCTTATAATATCATCTGTTCATTTACCATTTGTAAGCGAAAAGAAAACATTTGTAGAGGTTTTATTAAAATCAAGATTTACACTTTGTTGGGCAACCCCCCAAAAAAATTTAAGACCTATGCGCTCAAATAGAATCACTAGAAATGGAAATTCATAGTCAAAGCAAAATCATATTCTTCAAAAATAAACACTGTCAAACAATGCCCATTTTTCAAAACAATTTCTCAGCTCTCATCAAGAATATTTAAACATTTTTCAGAAGTAACCATCTTCTCTTTCTCTCCCCCCTCCCCGCCCCCCAATCCCTCCCCTCCTCCTGAAAAAAACAATCCAAACGTCAAAACAAACACCTCCAACAACTCCAAAAAAAAGACAAAACGAACCCAGGAACGGCTTGCCAGATCCCTGTATTACTGTATTAGTTTGTGTGCCATGGTAGGATAATATGGCTATAGAAATTGTTTACTTCACAGGAAGAGACAAAACAGAAAAACTGAATGCAAAGAGCAGAAAAGAAACCAGATCTCTACTAGCGGGTATGGTCATGAGCCATTATCACTGCAAATTTGGTGCATATGGTGGTTGGATTGGTGTTGTAAGTTTGTTAAATATCACCTTGATATTTTAAGTTAATTTTTGCTGCAAAAAGAAAAAAAAAATAATAATTTGTCCAAAAATGCGAAAATTAATGACATGAGAAGATTATAGACAAGACAAAAATCTGCAAGCAAAACAGGTTAGGCACGATTATAAACTTCAGTTTTCTTGTTACTTTGCTCTGTTATAATAATATATTATTATGCACATGATTCGCTTTATGAGTAATCATGCTCAGAGCTGGACATCTACAAACGTATAAGTTGTATTTGAAAGAGAATCAAACACAATGCTCGGAAGCAGCTTTACTGTTTGATACTGGACTATCAAAGCTAAACAAAACCGTTAAACGGCAGAACAGTAAATTGAAGTAAGAGAGGCATCAAATGATGATGGAGAGAAGAAAATGAATTATAGCTCTGAACAAAGATACATGAACTTGAGCACACACTGCTGAAAATGACAGACTTTACCTCACAATAGAAATCTTTTGAAACTTGTCACAGTAAAATCATATCGGTAAAGTACTTTGAGAGACATAGGTTAAAATGTTTGCATCAAAGAAAGAATTCACGAAGTTGGAAAGTTTTTATAATATCGACGCATAAATTTTCTACTTATTTTATCGATGCTCTGATCAGCAGTGCTTATAATATGATCACAACACAGGTCTATGCCATTTCACCAAATGAAACACAAAACTTATCATTATCTCATTTAGAAAACTACAAACAAAACAAAAGCCTATAATTTTTTTCTTGAATGTCAAGAGCAAAATTCCATGTACTTTGGAAAGAGTCTTGTTTAAGTTCTATCTTGAGGATTAACACAGGTAGTGAGGGATAAGGTGTCTTTTTTTCCCTAAGGTTTTGATCAAACTGATTTGAAGCATCTTAATTATTAGATGAAGAGACAAACAAAGAACACATAGGAGGAGGTTGAGCTCCTCATTCCAAAAACCAGAACCCTTCCCACAAGCAAAATATTACACTAAAGCGTGAACAAAGTGTGTACAGAAATTGTGTAAGTAATATTGCGAGAATAAAAGAAAAAATTCTTGTGTTCTAAATCTGATATAACACTTAATTCCACTTGCAAACCGAAACACTGCATGGCAATCACTAATCACGTTTCTGAGTGACTCATTAGTGATGAAATAAAACCTGTGACCAGAGACACACCCCCCCCCCCTCCCCAACCATTCCCTGAAAACGCCTGAGCAAGAAGTACAAAGGAAGGCAATGGACTGAAGAGAAAACCTACTCGATAAAGACTGAACAAAGTGTGAAAAAAAAGTCTTGTCTAAGGCAGATTACATATTCAACTTCGAACCCCAAACCACATTATAAATGTGCAGGCTTGGTGAGTCTTAACGACCTTACTGTTTAACCACTCTACCCAAAGAACACACACTCTGGTCTTATTCTCCTTGTTTTATTTTCTCTATTCAGGGAAAAGTGAGCTAGAAAAGAGGAATCTTCATAAAAGAAAGCCAAAGCCGCTTCTGTCACCAGTGGCACGACCACTTCCCAACAATCGGCCAAGAAAGTAAAAGTCACAAGAGGATAAACCCAAGTTGTGGTTTTTCTATTCAATTTTTTTTGGGGGGTGGGTGGGTGTGGACTAGGAGAATTAATACTTCTGTAGAATCTCTGCATTTCTTGACTTAAAGTTCGAAGAAGCAGGGAAATCTGTACCGTTTGCATCTCCGACGATTGGATAGAAAACTTGGCTGATGACAACCAGAACTTGGGGTAACTTTTCAAGGATAAAAAAAACCCAACCTTGTTGTTCCTCTACGTCTGATTCCACAATGTCCAATAAAGGAATATGTACATGTACTTTGAAGACGAGCTCCTGAGCTTTGCTGTTTTGCTTTTTGTATTAAACAGCTGGATATCTTCATCGATCTTTTGAATTAGGCCTATCGTTCTAAGTTCATCAAGGGAAGCAAATAAATATTATTCTAATTCTCCCTGATGCTGAGAAATAAAAACAGAGGAAGAAAAAAAAAACACCCTAAGACACTGGAATCTGCGTAAGGTAAAAAACCATGTTGACCGAAGGCCCGAACCCTGATGAAGAAAGCCACCAAGCCGTGAGACTGGCGCAGTGTACAATATGTCCTCTGGAGGTGTGTAGGCAGGCTATGTGACTTACACATCCGCAATCGGTCCCAGAACCAGGCAGCCTAGCATCTGGCCGCTCATCATGGTCATCATGGCGTGAGATTTCAGAATTTCACGGTCACATACGAAATTCATCTGCGATGAAAATGGCTGAATTATGCATCCTACCTAACACGAAGTTAGTAGTTACACAGGCACACATGGTATGCATCTCTGGTCTTGGATGAGTGGGTTCTCTCCTTTTCTTTTTTTTTTTTCTTACTTTGTCTTTGAATCCACAAGGAGGGAGGATGTGTTATATGGGAGGAAGTGGTGGAAATAAAATGTTCTCTAATCCCTCTAAATGAAAAAAAAAGCAGTATAAACCCAGATTTTTCCCGGTCTGGGGGGTTGGGAGTGTTAATATTTTTTGGTGGTAAATTGGACATGGTTTGAAAGGTAAGGTGGCAGAAAGTGTATGCTCTATTAATCTTTACTGGTGTTTGGGTTTTTAATGTGTGTTGTTGTTTGGGTTGTTGTTTTTATTACTCGACGACATGCTAGAGGGAGGAGGAACGAGAACTGTTGGATAAGTAGGAACGACAAGTGGTAAGTTTTGCACAGTATTCTCATTCAGGATGCCAACAGCCCTTGAGTTCTCTTCACTGATCCGTTCGCCGCTGTGTACTGCTCTGAATCTCCGACGCCATGAGCTCTGAGACCAGATGAGTCAACCATGACCACAGAAGACGCCACCAGCCCGAGCCAATACAAAACAACAAGACAATGGACACACGGAATAAGACAGTATCCTCGGCTCGTCTCCGCGTGTTTCGCCCGCACTTCCACGAATGTTCCAAGTACCGTAGCTAATACAAAAGTCATTTCACATTCAGAATCATCAAACACGACATATTGAGCGAGAAAGAGAAAGACTGATGAGGTGCAGAGAGAAATAAGAAAACAAACAAACAGAAAGAAAGCAAATGATATTGATGATTACAAGACCACATTCAGTGATGCAATGAAGCCATGACCGTATCAGGAAGCTGATTCGAGACACGATGTACAAATAGGATGCTTAGACATGATTTAAAGTGTATTATAAAGAAAATACATGAATTTCAGCTCCAACAGCGCAGTTCGTTAAAAAACAAACAAAAACAACAACCCAATTATACCCGTTAGATTGAGGAACAAGAAGTCTGCAGACTTTTGTTGGAAAAATAAAACCGAAAAAAGAAAATCCAAGCCAGTGAAAGACAGCAGCTCGTCCTTCCCGTCGTTTGCCGAAGAGCAAAGGTACAAAACAAAGATCACAAGTCGTCAGAATTACAAGACATGATGATGAAGGCCTTATATCCATCGTTGGCCCCCTGTAGTGTGTGAGAGAATAAAGACCGACAGCTGTACCAGAAACACTGATCTCTCCACAGCCTCTTAGAGATCTTTCGCCACGCCTGCCAGCTTCGAATGGACACACGTACACCTATACACACACACGTACGCACAACTCACACAGTCGCAAACAAACAGACAAACATGAAGAAAGCTTGAACGTGCTGGTAGCCATTTTCAATCCATGGGACGCATCATACGGAGATACCAAAGACTCCAAGCACCAAGACAAAAACAAAATCCCCAGGAAAACAATTCGGAAAAAACCAAAACAGAAATATGGGACAGCAACAGAGCAGAAGATAAGAAGATATGTCGGATGTACGAAACAACGTGACCAGAGAGTCACGTGACAAGAATAAGAACATAGCAAGTACGTCGAGGAATATGGGGCAATTTAGTGGACTTATCCCTCCCCTCACCCCTCCTTTTTCCCCTTGGGGTTGATGCAGTCCCATTGACCTTTTGACACATAAACATGATGTATCATAGTCAACATGGACGAGAACAAACATAATATCAGCTACATTACATCGTCGTTGCTGCAAGAAAAAAAGAATAACGCCATGTTTCTAAATCAAATTTTCTTGCAGCAGCGAAGACATAATAATATAATATAACAGACTCAAATATTGACGCCACTGTACTACCATTTATGGACAATACAAGAAAAACTGAACGTCGCTGATTCTAGAACACAACAGCCACCAAAGGCATACGTGCTAATTGTTATCCCCTTTAGAGATCAAACCTATTTCGCCAGTATGTCACCAGTTGCGCAACTCCACCCTTTCCTTTTTCCACTATGCCAAGTGAAACATAGTGAGTGGGACCAGCAATATTCTTTTCACTGAATAACCAATCCACAAGTTATGTTTTCAAAACCCCAACTACGCCGTGAATTTCTGGATTAAAATTTGTTGGGACTTGTCAGAGAGATTTTGATCTGCAAAAGGAGCCGTGGGGAAAGGAAAGAGGGGTGTTTTTCTTTTCTGTTGTTGTTGTTGTTGTTGTTTGCATCTTTTTCGCTTTTTATGGGG